ACAGTGGGAGGGGAGCGAGGGAGGCGGGAAGAAGGAGGAGGAGGAGGAGGCGCGGTAATGGATTTGAGGTAGAGGAGGATGTGCGTAGGGGGGAGGATGGAGGGGAGGGAGGAGGAGGCGGAGGAGGGAGGGAGGAGGAGGGGAACGGAGCAGGAAGAGTGAGGAGGAGGAGGAGGAGGGAGGAGGAGGAACGGGGAAGGAGTGAGGAGGAGGAGGAGGAGGAGGAGGAGAAAGAGAAAGAGAAAGAGAAAGAGAAGGGGGTCTTGGGCCTTGGCCGGTACTCACCCGATCTGCTTCCACTACGTCGCGCCAGCAGACCGAGGGAGGGGGTGCCCCTCACCAGTCACCAGAAGCAGCAGTCCAAAGCAGCCAGGATTTGGTCATTGGGGGGGGGGAGGTGGAGGACGGCGAGGGCCCACGCCGATCGGCGAAGCACTGAATCAAAGAACGGGTGCGTTAGCAACGAAGGATCTTTTGGGATAGTTCGCGCTGTAGCTCTTAGCAAATTCATTTGCGTGGAGGGGGGGGATGAGGGTAGGCGGGACGACGTGTCCAAAGAAATCTGCATTTCACGCAAATCGGGACTCACTTGCACCTTGCACGCCTTGTCGGCCCAGAGCTGTCTGAAAAGGCGGCCGGGGGGGGAACATGCCAGAATTGAAATCCGCCGACTCCAGCTTGTCGGGGATGAGATGGCGTGTGGGATGATTCGCTGTCGCCTTCCCATTTCCAACTTCTTCTCCTGGGATCCACAATTCCGCTTGAGGGGGGGAGCTTGCTCTTAAAGGCCTCAAGAGCCTCTCCAGACCCCCAAGACGCCCCAAGACGACCGAGCCATGCCCAAACGAAGCGCCAACACAGTCCAAGAAAGCGTCGACATGGTCCGATGTAGCCCCACGGTGATCCAAGCTAGCGTCAAGACGGCCCCCGACTGTCCTAAGACGGAAAACATGCGTTTTCAAGATGGTCGCGGTTTGTGCTTTGAGAATGTCTAAGACGGCCCACGGGCTCCCAAGATCGTCCCAGGTGCGCCCAGATACGGCCCAAGAGCGGCGCCCCAGAATGGCCCCAAGAGCCCTCAAGACGGCCCAAAGTACTCCCAGGATGGGCCCAAGCGGGCCCCAAGGGCTCCCAAGACGGCCCAACAGATCCCAAAGGTAAGCCCCAAAAGGTGAATCCACACGCCATGTCTAGCTGTTCCCCCCAAGATGGCCCTCTCGAGCCTCCCCTACGAAACCCAAACCTTGGCGGCGCGCACGCATGGGTAGACGGAGGGATGGGGTCTTAGAAGGAGGCCGCCCCTTAAAATGGCGCCAGCCGCCATCGAAGAACCCAAGGGCGCGCCGTTTCTTAGAACCACCCCGGCAGCGTGAAAGCAGCACGGAGCAAATTCTGAGCACGGAACATATGCTCATAAACAAAAGCAATTTCTGCGAATCATACCACGCCCTTCTTAGAAGCACGCCCAGAACAGCTTTTCAAAAGCAGCCGCCAGCTTCTCAGAAAGGCTCGCCCGCGCCTTCTAACAAGGGGGGCTGCTTCAAAGAAGCCTCCGCCCTCCTACCGCCAGCCCCCTCTGCGCGTGGCTCGAAGGGCCGTCCAGGATGCCCCCAAGAGTCACCAAAGGCCCCCAGATGCCTCGACAAACGCTCCACGGACTGCTGACAAGGCATCCGAAGAGACTCCAGCATGGCTCCAGGAGGCGCCTCAAACGCCACTTCCGAAAGGATGCAGGCATCCACGAAGCCTCCATCCCGCAACCCAAAGGCAGTGGTTGGACTTGCCCCAAGCCCCTGCTAAATTGTCACGTGTGTGCTCCATCACGTTCGCTGCTTGCCCTTCCGGACTTCTAACCCCACGCCGCGGCTCAACAGATGTCGCGCGTTGGCTCAAACCAGACCGTCGAGCCAAGTCATCCCCTTTCTGGTATTCACTCTGCGCGGCTTCCTCCTCGTCGTCGTGTCCTTCCCGCTTTGCCCCCCCCACTTCCCTCCCTTCCTCCTGTGTCTCCTCTTCTGCCGCCTCCTGCGCACGCCCCTCCTGATGCTCTCGTCCTGCTTCGTCGCCTCTGTCGCCTCCTCCTCCTCCTCCTCCTCCAGCACCACCCCCTCCTCCTCCTCGCCCTGCTTCCACTCTCTGCGCGCAAATCTACGCGAGTCCCATACTCTTGTTGGAAACTGCGACGCAGGCCCGCAAACCAGCGAACTCGGCAGGACCACGACCGCACCCACCAGAAGCGCGAAGCACATTGTTCCAGATTCCCTCCTGCGCGTTGCCTCAGCTTCACGCCACCACCATGCATCGCGTAAACCTCCCATTTAACTGGGTGCGACATTTGGCGCGCTTCAGCTTTCCTTGCCGTGCGACGGAAGCGACATTTCTGCCGCGCTTAGGAGAAACGCTCCGAAGCAGCCTATTGCCACACCGGCCCGCACATCCAAACGCCTCTCAAGATCTCACCAGGCATCCGCTCTCTGCGCACCCCTTGCACACCACCCTACTCCCTTTGTTTGATGTGTGTTTCGTTGGTCCCCAGGGATGTGCCCCCGCCACGCCACAACAAACACCAAATAGGCCCGAAGAGACCCCCAAGAGGCCCCAAAGGAAAACCCTGGAGGTTCCCCGAGAGGCCTCACCCGAGAATGTCTTCCCTCTCCTGTGGCTCGGCGGAGCGTCAGCCTCGTGAGTAAGAACACGCCCTCGCTGGCCACGTCGAGCCTTGACCACGAATAGATCCCCCGACCGGACTCGCAGGAGCGGCCTCGAAACCTGAGCCCCTCCTGCACACGAGGTGGTCCTGCTTTCAGCGTCTGGGCTGCCTCGCTGCTGCATCGGACATGCGTGGCCGACGCCGGGACGGAGGAAAGCGAAGTCCAGACGGCGCCGCATCGCCGATGCATCGGCGATGCGCTGTGATCCTCCGACCCGCGAACTCCAAGGCATTCGAAGTCGTGATCATTTCCCCACGTGGCCCCCCACAGGTTTCCCAGGGATCAATGCTCCAGTCCCAGGTCGTTCTCTGACGGTCCAGGGGCCCGGTAAGGGCCCCCGAAGGCCGAACAGCGGAGAACCTGAGCTTCTCATTGTCCACGACGCGGCCCGTCCGGGGGGCCGATGCCGCTACTGCCGGGATCTCTCCCGATGTGAGCTGGCCAGGATCTCACGGAGAGTCCAGCCGTCCAGGACGAGCAGCGGTGCATCTTTTTCTGGAGTGTTCGTTAACGGGGGCAATAAACGCGGGGTGAAGACACGTGCGCCTGTCGTGCACATCATGTGGGCGCGGCCTAAACAAACCCTAGCAGACCATCCCCGTCCGAGACGTTCCTCTAGCCTCCCATGCTTCCCTCCGGCCGCACACATACGGCTCGAGGCGAGGCGAGGGGGGCGTCACAGACGGGCATGGTTTGCTAGGGGTTGCTTAGGCCGCCCCCGGCTGGACGGGCCCGCAGTGTCAGTTTGGGGAACGCTCAGTTGAGCAGGGACCGACCGTCCCGGCATTCCTATACTCCTACCACGAAATGTTCTAAGAACAAAAACAATGTTCCTAGAACATAAACCCGATGTGTTAAAACAAAACAGACTCCGCCAGAAATGCTCTAAGAACATTTCGTGGAAACCACAAAAGGTTCTTAGAACATTGTTTGGCAGGGCTATGGGCGAGCCAGGACGCTTCGCCACTGCTTGACCCCACGCTTACGGTCGGCGGGATTGTTTGCTTGGCGCCATGCCTTGCAAGCGGATAGCGTGTCGCTCTGCTCCGCGCGGCGGGATGAATTGAAACACTGGAGACGCGGACGCTCGGTGGGGGCTGAAATGTGGACAATGGGCCGCGCCGAGGCGTGGTGGGCCAGAACCGGCGTAGCGACACGCTGAGCCAAAGCTCCTGACCGCTCTGCCCCCCATTGCCGTCCGCCCTATGTTCCTTCTCTGGGCATCTGCAGGTGGCCCCCTCCGCGCCCGCGGTGTCAGTTCAGGGCGCCCCATGAAGACGGGCAGCGGTGCCTGTATATTCGGATTTCGCCCCCTCCTCCTCCTCCTCCTCCTCCTCCTCCTCCTTACCTCCCACCTCTCTCTGCACTCTCCCTTCCTCCGCCTCCTACGCAACACTCCCCCACCTCCTCCTCCCTCCTCCTCCTCCTTTCCTCTCAATCCGCCTCCTCACTCCTCTCCTCCTCCCCCCCCTCCCCACTCCTCCTCCTCCTCCTCCCCCATCCCTCCCTCCTCCATCCTCCTCCTCCTCCTCCTCCCATGCCTCCTCCTCCTCCTCCATCCTCTCTCCTCCTCCTCCTCCTCCCCACCTCCTCCCCTCGTCTCCTCCTCCACCTCCCCCGACACTCAGGCACGGGGGGGCCTCTTTACCCCGCGTCGTCTTCTGACGGTCCCGGGGGCCCGTGGAGGGCCCGCGAGGTCGAACACGGCGGAACACCTCGGGACCCGTGGCCCTGCAGAACCCGCTGCTGGGGAATTCGAGAAGTGCCGATACCGCTGCTCCCGGGACCTCTCCCGGGGCGCCTGCTGACCAGGATTCCGAGGCGAAGCCAGCGGTGGCGACGCGGGGCTTCCCAACGGCGAAAAACCTCAGGACCCGCTCCTCTCAGGAACCGTTCCCCCAGAGCCAGTTCTTGTGTAGCGACTCCAGCAAGTTTACTTGCATGGACGGGGAAGAGGCTGAACCTGCAAGTGCGGAGATCACGCAAACGACTTGCACGTGCGGAGAGCACACAAGTCGAGAGGCACTTGCATGCCAGATTGTGTTGGAAGAGGGGCGAGGGTGGGGGTTGGCGAAGGCCATGCAAGTAAACTTGACTCACTTTTTGTTGTACGGAACAAAAAAGAGAGACTCCCTTCGAGCTCGGGCGCCGGAGCCCTCACATATCGATCTGGCTCGAGACATGGCGCAGAAAGATCAGGCCCATGACTCCAGACGTGATCTTGCACGATGTCGTCGTCGTCGTCGTCGTGCCACGGCGAGACAGTTGCGCAGACCCCGCCGGGGCGGCCTGGTGCCTCAGCTCCTCCTGCGCGGCCCGCAGCTCTGCAAGCAGCGCTTCAGACGCGGCCGCCCGGGCGGCGCTCGCCGAAGCCTCGGCCCGTTGCTCCCCCTCCTCCTGCGGCGGGAGGCGGGGGAGGTTTGTCGAGGCATCCCCACCGTCCTCCTCCTCCTCCTCCTCCTCCTCCTCCTCATCTTCCTCCTCTGCCTCGACCTCCTCGTCCTCGATCCCCCCTCCTCGATCCTCCTCCTCCTCCTCCTCCTCCTCCTCCTCCTCCTCCTCCTCCTGCTGCTCCTCTCCTCCCTCCTCCACGAATCGCCTCCTCGATCCTCCCCCTCCTTCCCGCTCCCCCTCCTCCTCCTCTTCCTCCTCCTCCTCCTTCTCCTCCTCTCTCTCCTCTGCCTCCTCCTCCTCCTCTCCTCCTCTCCGCTCCTCCCCGCCTCCTCCTCCTCCTGGACCTCTCATTCCCCTCTCCCCTTCCTCCTCGCCTTCCTCTCTCCCCCGCCTCTTCCTCCTCCTCCTCACTCCTCCTCCTCTCCTCCTCCTCCTCCTCCTCTGCCTCCCCCCTTCTCCTCTCCTCCTCCTCCTCCTCCTCTTCCTCCTCCTCCTCCCTCCTCCTCCGTCCTCCTCCTCCGCACCGCTCCTCCTCCTCCTCCTCCTCCTCCTCCTCCTACTCATCCTCCTCCTCGTCTCTTCAGGGGCATTGTTAGGGAGGGACAAGCACAGGGGGGACGCGCCGACTCCCAATCGCCCAGGATAGTCCGATGGTCCACCCCGCCCAGGATCGTGCGGATTTGCTATCGGACGGAAACATATCGCTAATCGATCGGCGATGGGTCACCAATTCCAGTTCCATGGTTCCCCACTCCCGAGCCAGCACCATCCTATGATTGCCCAAGCGTTAGATGTTTGTTCGCACGGGCGTTTGGTCTGGTATCGGGCCCCGGGGCAACACATAAAAATCAAGCTAGAAAAATGCAACATAATAGTTCTGCCTGGGACTCCAGCCGTGACTATTCGCGATGTCGCTGTCTTTCGCCAGGTCGGCTCGCAGGGTCCTCCCACGGGCAGCGAGGGGTAACGGCCGTACATGGATTACGTGTTCGTTCTGAGGGCCTTCCTGGAGCCACTCGTTCGAATCATGCGTCGATGCTGCGTCGAGCATTCGTCTACTTGAGTGCACCTTGGAACAGCGTGGAAAAAAAGGCGTAATCATACATCGAGAGAGATACGGGCCGAGGGCCTCTTCCTCCCAAGAGAAACACCTGAAATCTGTCTTCTTAAGGGTAAAAGCTACGGAGGGGCAACTTAATCTAATTGAGCCAAGGACATGGCTGCTCTAGCGAAAGTAGGCTGGATGTAAAGGATGTTCGTTAGAGTGGACCCCAATCAGTCAGTTATGACACTCTGACAATGGATGTGCACGCGAGTTGCTGCAAGGTATGTGGTGCAAGCTATGCGGTGCACTCTACGCTGTGCAAGCTGCGTGGTAAAAGCTAGGCTGTGCTTGCTACGTGGTGCAAGCTCCGTGACTCAACCTATGTGGTGCACGGCGATGTAAACGGGGGGGCCAAAAAGGTACCGATACCGCTACTCCCCGGACCTCTCCCGTGGCTGACCAAAACTCCGAGGCGAACCCAAGGGCGGTGACGAGGGCCTCCGAGGAGGCCCAAAAAGGGGAAAACGGGCGGAGGCTGCCAGGATGGATACTCCAGATTTCGTAATAAAAGGGAGGGGGTCTCATTTCGGGGGGGGTCTCTTCCAGGCTATCTTGGAGGGCCTGGGGGGGTCTGGGGACGATGTTTTGGAGGGTTCTCCCAAGGGGGGGGGGGGGTCTAAAACTTCTCGTCTGGACCCCCTCCTTTTTAATACGAAATCTGGAGTACCTTCCCTTCCTCTGAGTGAGCCCTGTGTTGCACGACGTGTTGTGCCTGCGTGGCGCAAGCTGCGTGGTGCAAGCTGTCGGGCTGCCCACGGGGCGCCCAATGGGCTGACACCAGGCGAAAGCTCGGCATACCCTCCGCGCGCGAAGAGCGCTCACGGGCGCCCGCCAAAAACGGGCACCGGCCGAAGCCCCCGGGCGCAGAGGGCTCACAAGGACAAGCACTGCACACGGGGACGATGAGTCTTGAGCACGACCGCGGGCCGTCTCCTCCACCTCCTCCTCTGCCATCTCCTACTATTCCTCGTCGTCGTCCTCCTCCTCCTCCTCTTCCTCTTCATCCTCCTTCGTGGCGAGACGGGGGGAAGGAGGAGGAGGAGGACGAGGAGGAGCAGGAGGAGGAGGAAGAAGAGAATAATGAGGAGCATGAGGCGGACGAGGAGGGACGATGAGTCTCCTGCCCCCTGCCCTTTGCCTCTGGCTGCTTGCCTTGTCCTCCGCCCCCTCCTCCCCTCCTCCTGCCTCTTGCCTCCTGCTCCGACATCTTGCCTTGCTCTCCATCTCCTCCTCCTCCTCCTCCTCCTCCTCATCCTCCTCCTCCCTTCCTTCACCTCGCCAAAGGAACGGAGGAGGAGACGGGAAACCACCGCCTCCGCAAGTTCACATACAAAACCCGGGACGGGCGAAATGTCGCATTTGTGGGGCAGCGTTTCCCACTTGCGCTCATGGTCCATTTGGCACTGCGCGTAGCTCAAGCAATAACGTGCGCCCAGTACCTCAAAACTTACCCTAGCAAAACACCCCGAAAGCAGCAGAGGTGACATGAGAGACAGGTGGAACCTATAGGACATGTGGGGCCATCGAGGCCTGCTAAACCAGTTGGAGCTGCGAAACCTGTGGGACCTGTAGGACATGCGGGACCTGCGGGACCTGTGGGACCTGTGGGACCTGCGGGACTTACGAGACCCGCGAGCCCTCCGGGGGCTGTAGGACCTCTGGCACTTGTCGGACCTCCAGGATCAACGAGCCCTGTTGGAGCTGTGGGACCTGTGGGACCTCGACTTGTGGGACCTGCGGGGCCAAAGAGAGCTGCGAGACCTGTGGGATGTGTGGGAGTTGTTGGACCTGTGGGAAATGCAGGGCCTTTGAGGCCTGTGGGACATGAGAAACCTGTGAGACCTGTGGGGCCTGTGCGACCTGCAAGACTTGCGAGACACGCGGGACTTGTGGGACCAGTGGGGCCCGTCGGACCTGTGGAACCCGTGGGACCCGTGTGGCCCGTGAGACCTGAGGGACCTGTGAGACCTGTGCGACCTGTGGGGCCTGTGGGACCTGTGGAACCCGCTGGACCTGTGTGACCTGTGTGACCTGCGGGACGTGTAGGACATGTCTGTTCTGTGGGATCAGTGGGGCCTATGGGAATTGCGGGGCTTGCGAGACTTCCTGGAACTGTGGGACCTGTGGGGCATGTGGGTCCTGTGAGACCTGAGGGGCCTGCAGGATCAACGAGACCTGCGAAGACAAGCGGGGCATGTGGGACCTGTGGGCGTTGTGGGAGCGGTCGGACATGTGGAACCTGTGGGACCTCTAGGATTCATGAAACATGAAAGAACCATGCGATTTGTTAGACCACTGGGACGTGTGGAGCCTGCGAAACCTCCCATTTTTGCGAGGCCTGCGGCGCTTGCAAGATTTGTTGGGCCTGCGGGACCTGGTGAATATGTGGGGTATGTGTGACATGCGGGACCTGTGAGACTTGCGACGGCTGTGGGACTTGGGGGACTTGTGGGACCCGAGGGACCAGTGGGACCTGTGGGAACCTTGCGCTTAGTGGGACTTGCGCGATCTGAGAGACCTGACAGACCTGTGGGACCTGTGGGACGTGTGGGACATGCGGGGACTGTGAGACCTGCGCGACCTGCGAAATCTGCGAAAAGTGTCGGCCCTGTGGGAACTGTAGGACCTGTGGGATTGTGGGACCTCCGACCGCAGAAAACCCAAAGTAAGGCCCTGAATTGCGGGACCGCCGGGCACCCACATGAGGACCTTACTTGGGACGCGGAGAACTCCATATCAAATTTCGTGGATCGACAAATGTTTCGTGCTTTGGGGCCATCGAGGCTCCAGGGCGGGATTTGTTCAAGAACCCGAGAAAATCCCCTAAGTCCACAATGCTTTCTTCGAACGGGGGGGGCCAACACTCAAACGTCAAAGCGGGGCCGTCGGAGGCCCTCCACTAGCCACCCCGTTTGGGAACGCGACGCAGCTGGTCTGCCGAGACCAGGACGCAACTCCGATGCCGTCACCGCCGCACCTGCACTGCAGCCGCTCACCCGCAAGCAACTCCAAGAAACCGCCAAGGAGGCGGGCACGACCCCAGACGGCACCAGCAGACCCCCTCGGGGAGCTCACGACGGCCCACGATGGCCCCGAAGTGTCATACAGAGCTCCAACACGGCCCCAAAAAACCCCAAGAGGCCCCCAATACAACCCAACAGGACCCCGTGACAAACCCAATGCGGCCTGAGAGTAACCCGTGAGAGACCCAACAGAGGCAAGAACAACGGACGCAGAAAGAGGCAGAAAAATCGGGGGACTCACAGGGGGGGGGCGGAGGAAAGGGTGGGGGACGACAACGAAATCGAAGTACGCCCCGAATCGATGCGGATAACTGCGTCACATGTTGCGGCCATTGCACGGGTATGCGCGACGATCTAGAACTTGCCGCGCCGAAACATGCGCAATCGCAGTGCGCGGGACTTGCCGCGAACAAATCGGCATGACGCAAACGCCCGACCCTCTGCACGCATCCGCAGTGCGTACAATGTGTCAACGAAGTCGCGCCCTCCACGAGCCGACCGGGCCCTCCATTTCGAGATGCGCGCAAGGAGCAAAACCGAACAACAACAATGCGAACAGAGGAAGGGGTAGGGCAAAGGGAAGAGGCCAAGCGAGAGGCGAGCCACAAACCATGACCGCCCAAAAGAACGTGGCAAGCGCAAGCGCTGAACAAAACAAAGAGGAACGACATTCCACTTTTGTGGCGCGCCGCCAAGGAGGGAAGGGGGACGAGGGGCTGCGAGCCCAGAAGGAACAGACTTGGCGGCATGCTAGACGCTTCAAGAGGCCTCGCCAAGCGGAGGCGCTCTGCCCGCATGAACGAGCGCATCGTCGCCCCAAATCGGCGCAATCACCTCGCGCGAAGCATCGCTGCGTGGGGGCAATCCGCACATGCAAGACACGTGCAGCAACCAAGCAAAACGGGCATTACGCGCCGCCTTACACATAGTGCTGCAATGCCGCAGCGACCACGTTTTTACTTCTGCGACCTCCCCTGATCAGCGCGCGCGTGGGTTGTGGCAAACGGGCGCCGCCGCGCGCGATCGCCACTCGGCCTCGCGAAAGCACATTGAAGGGAACGTTCGGCTACACGCAAGAGTGACCCTAGGGAAGAGTAACCTTTAGTGCGCGGCCAATGGGAGGCCCTTCGGGGACACCACCAGGAGCGCAAGCCGCTACTATCGCATCGTATTCGGCGATCGGGGGGCCCCCTGGGGCCCGCACGAAAGGTCACTCCGGCGAAAGGTACCTCTTACGTGTAGTCAAAGCGTCGCTTAATGGGGGACCAATTCGGGCGGGGAAGAAAGGTGCACTCACCAGGCCCTAAAGGCCCCCTTGGGGGCCCGAAGGGGCCCTCGAGGGGCCCGCGAGGGCGACTTCTCTGCAGCCCTCGCTGCCCCCAGCACCGATCAGAGGGGCCCAGGGACACACAAATAAATACAGAAATCCCCAGATTCCCAATCTTTCCTATATTTTCTGGGTTTTCGTCTTCACCCCCGATTCCCATGTTTACCATACTTTCCTGGAGATCGACTATGAAATGTGTCTGTGGTTTTCCCCTCCCGTCTTATCGCCCCCCCATTGCGCGACGCCTAAGTCTCCCTGACTCCAGAGCGCCCCAAGCTCAACATGTCGACGTCCGGGGACCTACTGGCCCGGGTCAGTCCAGACAGGAGTCAATCAGGCCCTGCAGGATCCTTCAAAATCCTTCAGCCAAGCCCGGGTCAGTGCACCCATGGCTCTGCAGGATCCTGCAAACTCCAGCGCACTTTCCAGAACGCTCGGCGGAAGCCCCCTGGCCTTCTGAGACGTTTCCTGAGCGTGCCCCGAAGACACAACAGACACTTCTCAGAAGGCGCGAGGACTTCTGAGAAGTCCCGCCGCCTTCTGAGAAGGTCTCCTCCTTCCCCCTTCCACCCTCGCTGGCCGCCGAAAAGAGGATAAGAGCGGCGCAGGCGCAACCTTCGATGGGCCGCTGGGAACTCTTGACTCTGTGCTGGCCCCCCCCCCCTTCTCGGCGCGCGGAAGGCACCAGGGGCTTCGCCGGAGGCGCCGCCAAAGGGGGGAGGGGGCCGGCGCAGACCCAAGAGCTCCGCGCGGCGCCCTCAGAAGTAGATGTTTATGAGTGTGTTGTTTCGGTCTCTCTCGGCGATTGGAGACCATTTTGTTTGAATCGGCGATAACCTGGGTTCTCCGGGAGAGGGGGCCGGCCACCAATCTTACCTTCGCGCTGTGGGCAGCCCTGCATCTGCCCGCGCGCACCGGTTCTGCGGCCCATACAGCTGCTAACGATGCTGCCGCGATGCCTCTATTGGTGCTGCGACGATGCGGGCGCCGTCTGAGAATGCCTGGGGATGTCTGGACAGCTCGCATTGGAATACGCGGGATGTGATTGCTAAGCGTAGCCGCGAAGTCCTTTGCTTACACTATCTGTAGAACACGCGTGCACCACATTGCCTGTGAGCGCTACCAAAAAAGCCTGAGCCAGAACGGTCTTGCACAGCACAATTGCAGCTGCAGCAGAGGCTTCTGCGTGCGCCACAGCGCCTGTGTATACCCCGATGCATGTGTGAACACCACAGGAGCCACGTGCACCAACCACAGCGTATGGCGAACATTTGCGCCTGAACGCTTCAGTGCACCTCCAAGGTCCCGGCGGGGCCCAAATCTGGAAAATACCCCCGGGCCCAAACGTATCAAATTCAACATGTATACTTTTTGTGATTATTGATTTTTCTGGCCCGGGTCCTCGCCGTCCGTCCGTTTTGGGCCGACCATGTTTGTGTACACCACGGTTCCTGTTGAAGGTACACCACGACGGCTTTGTACACCACAGCTGCGTGTGTACACCGCAGCGCCTGTCTGAACAGCAACCGTGTGCACCATAGCGCCTGTGTACACTGCGGCGCTTGTGCACACCACAGGAGCCACGTGCACAACAACGCATGGCGAACATTTGCGCCACAACGCTTCCGTGCACCTTCATGGTCCCGCGGGGGCCCCAATCTGGAAAATCCGCAGGGGTCCGAAAGTATCAAATTCAGTATGTAAGTTATTCGTGAATACCATCATGCCTGGGATGCCTGCGTGAAGGATAACTGATGGTGTAGCAATTAAGGTGCACACCACAAAGCCTGTCTTTACCATATTGCCTGGGTGCCTCACGATGCCCGCGTGCACCGCGCGACCTGCGTGCACTTATGCTTGCTTGCGCCACAACGCCTGCGTACACAACTGATCCTGCTGCACCAGCAGGGAATGCGCGCACCAAATGGCCTCGCTGCCTGTACTCAGCGCAATGCCTGTGTGCGCGCTGCCCATGTGCACCTCCAGATGCCTATAGACGACGTCTGTCGTCGTTTGACGTCGTCGTCTGTCGTCGTCGGTCGTCGTCTGTCTTCGTCTGTCGTCGTCGTCGTCGTCTGTCGTCGTCGACGTTGTCGTCCCGTGCCACTCCATGCCCCAACGTTTCGCCAACGTGCATCCAAACACCAGTACGCTGTGGCGCACACCACCGCGCCGTTGAACTCAGCGCCCATTGCGAGCTCCCTGCGCCCCCCCCGCGGACCTGCACAACCGGCTAGATAACGTTATCCTGGCGGGGGGGAGGGCGACCTCGACAACCCCGGTCATCGCCGGACCCTTAGAAAACTGACTCTTAACTTCCGACGACGACGACTTCCGACGACGACGACGACGTGGGGCGGCGGTGGCGGCAACGACGACGACGACGTCGACGACGACGGCTCCTGCTGCGCCGTCGCCAGCGCCCTCTCCAGCGCAGCGCGCTGGCGGGCCGCCGACTCCAGCTCCGCCTCGGCTGCGTCGGGCGGAGGCCGGGGCCGGCGCACCAGGACGGGAGGCGAGGTGCGTGGACGAGGGCCCATGGGCCCCGACAGCAGGCCCCAGAGGCCGATCGTCGAGAAGTGCGGGGACCGAGCACTCCTGAGCGTCGGAAATCTACAGGAGGAGCTCGGCCGCAAGAGAACTCCCACAAGAAGCCCCCACCCGGAGACCCCGGACGAGGTGCGCGGACGAGGGCAGGACAAGCGAGAATCGAGTCGGTAAGTCGGATCCGCGATCGGCATGAAACGTACAGTCGGAGCTCGCCCACAAGAAACCGTCCGCAAGAGACCCAACTCTGAGACTAGATCCCAGAACGTCCATCGATTCTTGGCGTGGGAACGTCACGCTGTCCATCGCAAAACCATCGAGACCCAAGAAACCCAGGGCACCCTGGAGGCAAGCAGAGTGTTTCTTGGCATGGGCCCCCACTCTAAGACCCCGTAGTCGTCGAAGATCTGGCTTTTCTGCCTGTTCAGACCCGTTCTCTGGTGTCGTGTCCCGACCGTTCCCCCAGGGTCGTCTTTGCACTCCGAACAGTGTTTTGATGCCCCCCCTGGTGCGGCGGGGGTCCCCAGAGGCAAAGCGTACGCAGAAGCCTCACGCCGTGGTTTCTTCACGGCGAGAGGGAGTCAGGGCTTCGGGGCCAGAATTCGGGCCTCAGGCCGTCGTTCAGGACGTTCCCAGCGTCCAAGGAACAATCTCGCCGTGACAGTTTCGCATCGATAGCATCCGCAGACCCTGGTGTCTTGGTTCCCTGGGATCAGGGACTCTGCTCATATCCTTGGCCACCTTCGACTGCTTCTCCCTCCTGCGAAGGCCTGTGCTCTGGCACATACGCGCAGGAACATTGATGAGCCTGTTTTACACCACCACCACCACCACCACCACCACCACCACCACCACCACCACCACCACCACCACCACCACCACCACCACTACCATCAGTTGGAGGGGGAGAGGAGGTGGAGGATGAGGAGGAGGACCCCCTCCCCCACCTACTTATGGTGGTCGCGGTGGAAAACATGCCCACCAAACTTCATGCTCTGAGCGTGCTCAGCCGCCTGTGGCTTCCCCCTCTTCCGTCCGCGCCCGTCCTCCTCCTCCTCCTCCTCCTCTTGCTCCTCCCTCCTCCTCCTCCTCCTCCTCCTCCTCCTCTCTCCTCCTCGTCCTCCTCGTCCTCGTCCTCGTCCTCGTCGTCCCCTCCTCCTCCTCCTCCTCCTCCTCCTCCTCCTCCTCCTCCCCCTCCTCCTCCTCCTCCTCTTCCTCCTCCTTGGGCACTACCGTACCCCACTGGGCCCTGGTCAGGCACCTCGGCCGCCTCCGACCGCGGCGTGGAGCCGCGCCGCTGCGACCAAGAACTCGGGGATCTGCGGACCCGGGCCCCATCTCGGGGACGGACAGAAGCCATTTCAGGAAAGCGTGGTCGAATGAGGACGGCATCGGGCCCAAACCTGGCGGGCGCAAGCCTGGAAAATAACGGCCGCGGCGCCCCCCTCGAGGTCCGACGCGTCAGGGTGGGGGTTCTGCCCACCCACGACAATCCAGACCTGGGTCAGTCGGACCTCGCAGGATCCTGCAGGACCCTGCACCCCAGCCCGGGTTCAATGCAGCTTCCTGCATGATCCTGCAAGATCCGGCGCTCGGCTGGACCCCCGTCTGCAGTGACCCCCGACTCGAGGCCCCCGAAACAGTTCTAGGTCGGGCACGGCCTCCTACAGGCGGATTTTGGAGGAACAGTTGAAAATAGTCAAACAATACCCCCAAACAATCAACTGCGGTCGAACAATTGTCCCCATACGATGTGACATACCCGACTTAAAACAAGTTGTTCGACATTGGGCGGAAGGGGGGGAGGGGGGTCGAGCTCGGGAACTCTGCTTCATGCGACTGTTTGCAACAGTGCGTCCTGTGGGGGAGACCCCACCTGCGTGAAACAGGCGCTCCAGACAGCCAAGATCTACTCCAGGGAGGGGGAGGGGGGGTGCGAGGGACCGCGCCGATCGGCAAAACAAGGAATGAGAAAACGATCACATTCACCGCTGTCTGAGGCCAACGAAACAGTTTTAGGTCGGGCATAGCCTCATACAAGCCGATGTTGGGAGAAAAGAAACCATAGCCAAACAGTGCTCCCAGAACGTCAAGAATGGTCGAAACATCGCCCCTAGGCTGTTCTTTACTATTTTTGAGCACTCCTTCTGGAAAGGGAACTAGTATTACTCTCTTACTTTATATACCTATACAACCGCCCTGCGGGCGATAAGGAGGTTTGGGGGGGGGATTGAGATCAAATGCCCACCCTGACTGACCTCCAGCCTGTCACCTTGATCTCATCTCTCTCTTTCTCTCTGGATGGATTGGACAAGAAAGCCCGCCGCAGGCGCCGACAAAAATGAATTCATGGATTGGGTTGGGTGGATTGGACTGGATGGGATAAGATGGATTGGATAAGATAAGATGGTTGGATTGGGAGAAATGGATAGGATCAAATAAGATGGATTGGATTGGCCCGCCGCAGGCGCAGAAACAAATGAGTTGATGGATTGGGTTGAGTGGATTGGATTGGGTGGGATCAGGTAAGATGGGACAATATGTGTTGGATAAGATAAGATAGATTGGATTGGACAACATGGATTGGATAAAATAAGATGGATTGGATAAGAAAGCCCGCCACAGGCGCCGGAAAAAATGAACTATGAAATGAGCGACATGCGTTATCGCCAGGACGTACGGGATACCCGGGACACCCGGGACACCGCCCAGCCCAACTGGGACACCTCCCGGCCACCGGCGGACGGGAAACGGACTTTCCCTCCTACTGACACCCGGGACACCCGGGACACCGCCCGGCCCAACTGGGACACCTCCCAGCCACCGGCGGACGGGAACGGACTTTCTCTCCTACTTCGGCCTAGCTACAGGAGGATCACGCGCAGCTTCGCCCCACCCGCACGCACGACACGAACACGAAACAGAAACCGATTGCCCGGTGGGGGGGCTCTCCGTTCCACTGCGATCTCACCCGCCTCACCTCCGATATATACATATATATATATATATATATATATAATATATATATATATATATATATATGTATGTATTGTTGTTTGGGGGGGGCGCTCCGCGCGGCTTTCTTGGAGCCGCGCTGGTCTCCCCTCCCCAGAGGGCCGGCGCGCGGAGCGCGCCAGGGGCGGCGCTGGAGGCGCCGCCGGGGGCCCAGGCGCGGATCCAAGAAATCCACGCGGAGCGCCAAAAAATACGTATATGGCGTTTGTTCTTCTGCGATGCTTGCGTCTGCCGAAACGGGGAGCGAAGAACGAAGTGAATCGCACGTGGATTGTTTCAAAGTCTTCATTCCTGACCCCAAAAAAGATCCGCGCGAACTCCGCTTCGAAATCTGGAACGAGATTCTCCAGGACAGTCCGGATCCATCCGATCGCTTTCCGAAGAAGTTCCACTCCGCGATGTTGGCGCCAGGAAACATCTACTTGCATCTGAACCCTGCATCGTGCTGGCGGCGACCACTCTGCGAAGCGGTGCGGTGCGTGCGCGGCGGCTCGTCGGCCATAGGTGCCGCATCCGAACGAAATCCGCCTTGTGATGTTTGCAGCGCTTTTGTCTTCTTCGATATTTTGGATCCTTATCTCTGGGCGTTGATATTTTGGGATTTCATATCCTTTGGGCCGCCTGCAGTGGAACGCGCCGTCGTTCTGCGCTCCTCGAACCCCCGTCTTCGAAAACCCGCCTCCTCGGAGGTCTGGCAGGGCTGCCGCGCTCGACGGCCGGGCCCACGGCGCCGCTTGCGCCGCCGCGGCCCACGGGGAGGACCGCCGAGCGGCGCCGCTTTGATATTCCATCGTTGCTTCTTCTGACTACCTACCAGACCACCCCAACCCAACCCGAAGACCCGAATTTCGGGTTGGGGGGGGGTAAGGGCTCCACACGTGTTTTTTCGATGTTTCCCGACACCCCCCCTACTGGAAATCGAGGGTAAATCTGAGCCTTCGGGTTGGGTTGGGGTGGTTTGGTGGGTGGTGATCTTCTGCGACACTGTGGGCTCTTAAATGACCTCTCTTCGAGCCCGTCTGTTCGGCGCATCCCGGGTCCGCCGCGAGGCGCTGCGGCTCCGTCCCCTCGACGGGCGGCCCCCGCTCGGCGTCGTCGTCCGCGGGCCGAGCGTCCTGCGCGCCCCAGACCCGCGAGAGCTGCAGGTCCGCGAGGTCGGCCCTCAGGGAGGCGGCCTCCTCGTGGGAGGTCGAGCACTCCTCCTCCCTCCTCCTCCTCCTCCTCCTCCTCCTCCTCCTCCTCCTCCTTGCCCTCCTTCTCCTCCTCCTCCTCCTCCTCCGCCTCAAGGGCAGGAGCTCTCGCCGTCTCCTCCTCTCCTCCTCCTCCTCCTCCTCCCTCTCCTCCTCCTCCTCTTCCTCCTTCCCCTCCTCTCCTCCTCCTCCTCCTCCTCCTCCTCCTCCTGCTCCCTCTCCTTCTCCTCCTCCTCCTCCTCGTACTCCTCCTCCTTCCACTCCTCCTCGCTTTCCTCCTCGTCGTCGTCGTCCTCCTCCTCCTCCTCCTCCTCCTCCTCCTCCGCACCAGCTCTTGGAGATCAGGCCTCCGCCCAGGTCTCCAGCGGAAGATCAGGAGAAGGATAGGGAGGATCGAAGAAGAAAGACGCCACAGAACACAAATTTGTGGTGCTCCGCGCGGATTTCTTGGATCTGGGCTAGAGCCCCCTCCCTGGTGCGCGGAGCGCGCCAGGGGCTGCGCTGGAGGCGCCACCAGGGGGCCCAAGCGCGGATCTCATACATCCGCGCGGAGCGGCAAGAGTTTATGGTTAGGGCGCTTGTTTTCTTCGATGCTCCGAACTTCATGGTAAGAATAGGGGAAAGGATTTCGGGGGGGGGGGAAGGTCTGGGGGTCTGGGCAAAAGACCGCCCTTTTATGGCTGGCCTGGAGGGGGAATCTAGAGCTGCTCGTCTGGGAGGCTGATGACCCCCTCCCCTCCGCCGCAAAATGTGACGTAGCGTGTTGCGGCGGCGCCCGCGGCGAACGACCATGCCCTGAGAGCGGATGGCGTGTCGCTCCGCTCTGTGTGTCTGGAGGCTGGGAATCACTCGGCACGTGGACGCTTGGATATGGGAACGTGTCGCTCCGAAGCGTGCCGCGGCGAGGGCCCCCAGGAAAAGGACAGCCTTGACTTTGTCGATGCGTTGGAGGTCTGGCCATACGTTCACCCTGCGCCTGTGCTCACCCGGTGCTCCAAGATCTGCTCTAGAAGAAGGAAAAAAGCCATAAACATAAACTGTTGGTGCTCCACGCGGATTTCTTGGATTCGCGCTGGACCCCCTCCCTGGCGCGCGGAGCGCGCCAGGGGCGGCGCCGGAGGCGCCGCCTGGGGGGGGGGCCAGGCGCGGATCCAAGAAATCCGCGCGGAGCGCCCAAAGTTTATGTTTATGGCGTTTGGTGTTTTTCGATGCTTGCGTCTGCCGAAACGGCGAGCGAATAACGAAGTGAATTTCCCCCGTGGATTTGTTTTAAGTCTTCATTCCTGGCCCACAGAAATCCGCTCGACATCCGCTTCGGAATCTGGAACGAGATCCTCCAGGGCACTCCGGGTCCGTTCTGTCGTTTTCCGAACGATCTCCGCCTTGCGGTGTTGGCACCATGAAACATCTACTTGCGTCTGTCGGGGATCTTCTGACCCGGGTCCATCCGGACCCGGGTCAGCAGGAAACCAAACAACTGCAATGCAGGAACAAAAACTGCAACGCAGGTTTTCACAAACCAGGGTCGGCCAATATGCGCGGCGCCCTCGCGGCCACAAGCGGCTCGCTAACCTGGGTCAGCCAGAGGGGGTCTTCGCAAGATCCTGCAAGATCTGGCGCTCTGGCTGACCCCCGTTTGCATTGACCCCCGTCTCAAGGCTCCCGAGTCTGAACCCTGCATCCTGCCGGCGGCGACCACTCTGCGAAGCGGTGCGGTGCGTGCGCGGCGGCTCGTCGGCCACAGGTGCCGCATCCGAACTCTGCCGCCCCTGCCCGTGGCGGCCGCGTCCCCCGCCCCCCCCCCCCCCCCCCTGCGGCCCGCCCTTCTCTGAGCGCCACGGGTGCCTCGGAGCTCGCGTCGGCCCGACACGCCAAGGCCTGCCGCGCCGCCTTGATCTCCACACTCTGAGCCCAGCTATTGCGAAGACGTGTCTGTGTGTATGTGCGTATGCGCGGCGGCCCTTCTAAGCGTGACGCGTGTCTCGGAGCTCGCATCGACCCGACACGTCGAGGCCTGCCACGTCGGCTTGATCTCCGTACCCCGAGTTTCTTATGAAGCGTCGGGGGGGCGTCACCCCCGCCGACAGCTCCATATCGACCCCCGTCGCGGGCAGCCACCGCGGGCCGGAGGCGCTCCGACCCCCGTCACAGCGCGACGACGAGGCGAGGTCGACCCCCATCGGGGGGGTAATTACACCCCCACGCTTATGAAGAAACCTGGAGTACTCTGAACCCAGCTATTGCGAAGACGTGTGTGTGTGTGTGTGCGTGTGCGCGCGCTCCTCCTGAAATGCTTTCAGCCGTAAATGCCCTAGCCCTCCCTCGTGTCATCCGAGGCCGGTTCTCCTCCTCGCGCGCCAGCCACCCCCTGTGCTGCCAGACAATTATATAATTTATCCAGTGCCCCCGACACCCTCAACGCGCGAGCGGTTTGCTGCTGCAGTGCCGCAACGAACAGTGTGTGTGTGTGTATGTGCGTGTGTGAGTGAGTGTGTGTGCATGCGTGCATGTGTGCATGTGCGCTGCGTACCATATCACTCCGGTCGATGGTTCTGGCCGCTGGCAGCCCCAGATCCAGGAGGTGTTACGCGTGTGCGTGTGCGCATCCTGCCCTCTGGAAGAGCGCCTGCGGATCTCCGATGCCTTTCGTCCCGGCGTCGGGCGCCAGCGGGCCCGCCGTCGCGACCGCCGGGGCCACGGAGAACGAAGGACTGCCCGCGGGGGGGGGCGGGGAGGGGGTCGGCTTCTGGGGCCGCGCACTGCCACAACAAGCACATCGTCGGTTGTCGGGGCCTCCGTCTGGCGGCACGCCAGGGGGGGGCGGGCAGGGAAGAGGGGGAAGGCTTCTCAGAAGGGGGCTGCTTCTCAGACGGCGCTGGCCTGACATCCACAGACAAGGCCCGCGCCTGCTCGCGCACTGCAACGAACAGAAGCACACCGTCGGGCGCCGGGGCCTCCTTGTCCAGTGGCTCTTTCATCGCCAGAGATATTCCCATAGCGCAGGGGCTCAAACAACACAGGCAAGAAGAGGCATCAAGAAAATGCAGCAGGTTCCACCACTCGCCTCGCCCCCTCTGGGGCAATCGGAGCTCGGTGATCAGGGCTGGGAAACGTGCTGGGCTTGTTGCCACGGGGGGGATGGCAGACAACATCTGGCGACGCTGCTGGATACTCGCCGGGCCCCCTCCTCCTCTAGCTGTCCTTGGAGGCTTCCCGATGGAGTCCGAGTAGACGGGGTCGGAGGATGGCGCCGCATCGCCGATGCATCGCCGCCACTGGCGTGGAGACAGTCGGGTTCCACATTGAGCCGCGTCGCCTATGCATCGGCGATGCGGACCGACTCCATCTATTCGGACCGCATTTGGAAAGCCTGGAGCCTTCCTGGTCTTCCCGCTCTCGTGAGGGGGGGGTGCTGAAGCTTGGCGGCGAGCGAGGGGGGGAAGTGAGAATGAGAAAGCCTTCTCAGAAGGTTCGGAAGTCCCCCGGCCTCCTCAGAAGCATTCTAAGCCTTCACCGAAGACTAACAAAAAATACTTTTCAGGAGGCGCGAGGGCTTCCGAGGAGTCCCGCCGCCTTCTGAAAGAGCCCTCTCCTTCTCGCTTCCCCCCCCCCCCTCGCTCCCGCCTTGGGCGCGAAGTGATGGGGGGGGGGGGGAGGGCGATCCATGTGGGAGGGGGGGATTGGGCAGCGAGGGCTGCAGAGAGACGAGGCCACTTTGGGGCCCCCCAAGGGGCCCTCTGCGGCCCAAGAGGGGGGCCTTTGGGGCCCGAAAGGGGCACCTTTCTCTCCCCCCCCCCGTCTCCAGGTATCCCCCCCACCCTCTGCAGGAGAACTGGACGGGGAGGAGGAGGAGGAGGAGGAGGAGGAGGAGGAGGAGGAGGAAGAGGAGGAGGAGGAGGAGGAGGAGGAGGAGGAGGAGGAGGAGGAGGAGGTGCCTCTCGCCTCTGGGCGGTTCTCCTCCCCCGGTCCTCCACGGCGGCCACGGCGTCCGCGTTCGCGGCGCGCAGGTCCTCCCTGGACGAGGCGAGCTCCTGGAGGCTGCCAGACCCGGGCCACGCCCTCCCGCCGGGAAAAAACAAAGCGAGGCGGAGAGGCAGCACGCTCGTGCCTTCGGGAGCGGCCAAGAGGGGGGGCGTCCAAGAGGGGGGGGTGCAAATCATGACCGGCGGCATGTGCGCGGCCTAGCGGGGGGGCCAGGGGCGTAATGAAATAAGAAGAGGCGCCATGAAATCTGGGGAAATGTCATGGCCCACGCCATGATATCCCCCTCATAGTCATCACCCCCCTCTTTTCCGCCCCCGATACCTGCAGGGGCAATGGGACACACAGACAAATAGACACGAATCCCAGGATTCCCTGTGCATGTTCTCATATGTTCTGAATGTTCGTCTTCCCCCCTGCACTCCCCATATTTTCCCATTATTTCCCTGGGGATCGGCACTTCATTGTGTCTGTGTGGTTTTCCCCTCCTGAGTACCCACCGCCTGGGTAACCGACGTCGCGGGACTGTCAGAGCCAGCTCGGCGCGAAGACCTGAGGAGCCACGCTGTTCAACAAACTGCATCGTATGTCTGGGGAGGTCCTCGTTTTTCCTGGGGAACAAAAGGTACCGATACCGCTACTCCCCGGACCTCTTTCGAGGTGCGTTCTGACCAGAATTTTGAAGCGAATCCAGCGGTGGCGACGAGGGCATCCCAGGAGGCCCAAGAAGCTGATAACGAAGAATGGGCAGGCTGTCTGGGTACCTCCTACTATGTACTCTGATATTCGGGCTGAACGAGGTTTGCGTGGGGGAAGGGGTAGCATTAGGTCGGGCACGTCCCCCTACAGGCGCACTTCGGACGAAAAGTAACAAATAACTCAAAATATACATCTACAATGCTAGAAAAAAACAAAAAACGTCCCCTGACTATTATTTGCTTGCTATTTTTGAATATTCCTCCTGTTGAGGGACAGGCCCGACTGAAGCGTTGATTTCTAACGTTGCG